ATAAAATTATATTATTATATTATATTATTATGCTGCAAATCTACACTTCATTTCTTAATAAATAATATTAAGTACATTTATATCTCGTAATTTGTTACCTTTTTTTTATCGATGTCTATATCAAGTCTTGCAAGTTATACAGTTAATTCATTACAACAATAGCTCCAAATTGGTATTAAATATCAGCCGATAAGCAGATCACAGGTACTGGATCATAAAATGAATGGATTGGTGCATCTCTAGTGAAAAAGGATATCAACTTTCACATTCTTTTACTCAACCCCTTACATTACACACACATACAGATATTCTCTCTCTGAGCATTCACAATCACGCACTCTCATGCTGAGATATGTTACGTACCGATGGCAAGATGTAATCGGTGCCCAAAACACTGCAGTCTGGTCCATTCATTTAGTTGTGCTGCCAACACCATGTTTGATGCGTTGTCCGTCGTTATGCAGATGTGCTAGCAAGTCCCTCTCTCAAGCCAGCAGCAATGTTTTCCCCTGTGTGATCATCCGGGAAGTAGGAAGCTTGAAGGTAGCGAGCTTTAAGATTTAAGTCCTCGTCAATATAATGCACTGTTAAGACTCTGGTATGGCTGCGCTGTTCGGCTTGACCACAAATCTGTAGTTGTTGCAAAAAACTCCACTGTTTTCAGCTCCGCAGCAACTCTGTCTCTGCATTTTTTGTATAGCTCAGGTATTGCGACTTGGTTAAAATATGTGTGTGAGGGCATTGAATACCGCTTATCCAACGTGTGTACCAAAGCCGTAAACCCAGGCTTGGTCACTATACTGACGGATATCATGTCTTTCGCTATAAACTCCGTAATTGCCCGAGTTATTTCAACGTGCCGTTTCGCATTATGTTCATAGGGAGTAACACTTTCAAACAGTTTGGTCAGTGATCCCTGTCGGGGTGGTACTTTGCTTAATTGACGCTGAGGCACTGGTAGTTGCCATTCTAGCCATTCAACTATCATACATAGCCTTGTGGTGTTTTTTCAAGTGCTGATAGAGGTTCGTAGTGTTACCTCGTGAGGTAGCAACCAAAGCAAGGCATGTCCGGCACAACACCTGAGTTTGCGCAGCGTCTTCATTTTTAAACCCAAAGAAATTCCACACGAATGACGTGCCGCTCCTCTTTGGTACCAGACCTTCAGGTGT